GCAGTCCAGTGCCACGTTTCCCAGGCAGTGCAAAATTACTGTTGCTTTTCTGTTGTTATTCATTCCCCATCATGCTGACATTGTTTCAGTGTATGACAGGAAAAACACTGAACATCACAAGCTACATCTCACCTATGTTACAGCATCCATGGCTATTCAGGTTACTGTATTATAGCAAGTCTTCTTTAAAATATGACTGGACTGTCTATGCATTGTTTGTGAAAGTTCATGTGATCCTGCTTTTGCAACATGATATAATAAAAAAAAAAATCTTTTTCTTTACATTCTAAATAATGCCAAAGCTGAACTGTAATTTTTCGCTCATATTTTTGTTAGGAGTAACCGAAATGAAACTGTTTATGATTTCATACCTGCAAAAGACTATGGAACAGATTTTTCAAATGCAGTCAGCTGGCGTGGTTGTAGAAAAACATGATTTAGGGTGATTTATTATTCATTCACTAACACCCTCAATTTATATTCATACAACAAGATCTGAGCTTGATGTTTCAGCCTTAATGAACATTGATGTTTATTCTTCCTTGTAGTAAGCAAGATATAAAGAAAGTATTCCTTTTTATGTTTCTACAGTAATAGTCCTGAGAACAAAAAACATTGTAAAGAAGGTGTGTGATGGGGTTTCTGTTGAATAGGGATGAGGAGAATAAAATTAGAAATATCTTAATTTGGACATTAAATTTGGAATTTAATTTTCCTCAACAGAAACCAGAATGTTCAAGGACATTCACTGGGGCATGTAGCAAGGAAGAAAACATGGGCTGAGGATGTGATGGAAAGAAGGACCTTCTGTTGGTGTTCTGTGAGCATGGGCCTCAGCTAGGATGCACTTCCATAGCTGAACTGAAGTGCTGAGGCCAGGGCCTGGCTCCATGATCCCCCATACCAGACAAATCTGTGGGACGGAAGAAAGGTCTTCATGCAGTTCTTAAAATTTTTCGGAGATGAATTTGGGTGAGGAAGGAGGGGAGAAACTGGGAACTACAGGCTAAAGAGAATCATAAAGAATTTCTCAGCACTGTATTGCATTTTCTACATGAGCCTTGTTCAGTCTAAGAAATCAACCCTCACTTTTGATGTTAGAAGAGCAAGGTCATCTTTACAGCTCTTCAACTTCCACTTCTAAATATCTGGCAAATAAAATATTAAAAGCAACTCAAGCTGGCACAAGTTCAGAAAAAGGAGAAATAGGAACAGGTTCAGAATAGAAGAGAGGATTCCTAGAAATTTAGTTTTGGCAGCCAGACCTTCAGTCTTATTAGTAGTTTAATGCAGATAAAGATGAAGTCTTAAGTTTTCCTTTTTATTTGCATTCTTTTAGCATTTTTTTTTAATTACTTCTTGTTAAGGGAGTTATGATGATCAGCTGCGTGGTTTTGAGATGAATCATTTAAATAGCTTGCACTAACTCTCCCTTGAGGGCTGCCAGTCCTACAAAGGCTTTCTGCTGGTGTCCATTATGGACATTAAGGTAATATGGAAAAAATAAGCTTGAAGTAGCTAAAACTGGTGGTCTCATGCTGTTGGAAAACATTCTTACCCTTGTTTGGATGCTATGTTAAAAGGGGTTGCATTTTTTCACTTGAGGGAAGAATTATTTATATTTATCTATGTGTTTGAACTTCTTTGCTGTGAAATCTAACTACAACTTTACTTGCTGAACTATGTTTCCTATTCTGGCTTAGGAAGCACAAGAATTGTTCCCTGGGCACTGCTGACAAGACAATGGGCTTTTACAGTGAGAATTCTGAAATTTAGATTCTTGCTAGAGGGAAAATGAATCTTTTGATTCTTTTGTAGCTTATGGAGCAGCAGTTATCTGCTTCAGTTATCTGCTTATGCTGTGCTTCTAAAGAGGAACTTGCATTTCATATGCTTAGCATCCATTTTAAAAAACTGATCCAAGGAAAGGAAGCTAGAATGTAAAAATTTTCAGCATCTCATCTATTACTATAGTTCTCTTTGAAATGACCTGCGGGCAACAAGGCTATTGACAAAGGTCCTATCCGCTGTGAGAAAATAAAAACTAAAAAAGCCTAGTTCTTCAAGCAAAGAAGTGTCCACTATTTTCAGATGTTAGTTGTACCTGATTGTTCTGGTGCAGCTTTTGTAGTAAGAACATCCACTCTTCTCGTAATAAAAATATTAGAAAATGTAACTAGTGAAGGATTGCCCAGCATGTTCTTCATGTTTTAACTAGCATGTAGCTCTGGATTTTTTTTTTTTATTTTTCTTTTTTGTTGTTAATGTCAAGAACAGCATGGACTTACAAATTTCCCCAAAGCACAGACTTTATATGATCAGATAAGAGTATACAATCAAGGTAACATAACAAAAGGAAGGTATTTGAAAAGCTATTTGAAAACACAGATGATTTTTCTTTCAAAATTGACACTTGGCCTTGCTGTCATTTTTGATAGAGATACAGTGGCTCAATATCTGAAAGCCTTGTTGGGTCCTCCAGTTGCCTGCCAGGTATTCATGGTAGCCAGCCTGGCTGTTTGTAGGCTTCTCTTAGGTCTAGATCTGTGGTCTGTTCTTTCCGTAAGTCTTACCTTCCTTCTGTAGAGAGATGTGATATTTGAGTGTGTATAAGATGGAGAAAAGAAAAAGAAAGACATCTCTTGGATAAGTAAACAGCCATTATCTTAATTTTTGTAGTTTCTGGGATCTGTTTGCATAAAATGTTTCATTGTTTCTTGAATAATATGAGGTATAAGGACAGTGGAATGACTCATCCTTTTGGGGGCTCCTTTTGAAGCATTGCTTCACTTAACAATTTTGGAAGTTCTTGTCTCATTCTTCAAAAAAGGGCAACTCTCCTTCAGACGTATTTTCCAATTTTGCTGTAAATTAAGGCTACAGCCCTTCACAACACTAACTACAATAACATTCTTGAATTAGTTCTGCCAAAGTCCCTTTGGAATGAATAGATCTTGAAAAATTACTGTGGTTTTGTATTGCACTTGGGTTTTACCACTTGATAAAATAAAGCAAATGTTCATGAAGGGTAAGTCACTGATTTCTATAATTTTGGTGTGTTGTGCTGAGGAATGTTTTCTTTGATAGAAATCAGGAGGCTGTTGGTCGTGCTGATGGAAGTTAATCAGAAATGTTAGACTGTAGTCACATCACAATGTGAGAGGAATTGCTTCATAAAGCTAATCACACTGAAGATCATGGCGGGAACACCTAAAGGTAAGACAAAAAGAGAGAATTCTTCTTATCACGTGGCCTCATTCTCCAAAAACACTGCAAATATCTTAATAGTACCTCAACAAGTGAGTAGCTCAGACTAAGTTCAGAAGGGTAACTAAATTTGCTACCGTTTTGATGGAATTAGCAAAAGTCTGTTGAAATGGTGATCCGGTCCGCAATGAAACCTTCCTAAGCAGCCAAAAGAACACAGGTAAATATTTTACCTCCTTCCCAAATATCCTGAGCTGCCTTCATTTCCTCTATTTCGCACTGTAGTCATTGTCATGTAGAGAAGCTTGGCTCTGATTTATACCACCCTCAAATACTGCTGCTCTCTTGTGTGACCTGTAATCCCTGTATTTCCTTATACTAGGGCCACAAGTCATCTCCATGACTGTGTTTTCAGCACTCAGGATTACTAATGAAAACAGTCATAAGCAGTGATGCTGGACTTGGTGTAAAAAGCCTGGACACCATCTAACTTCTACTTAAGCAAAATTTGAGAATTGAAACAATGTGCAGCCTTTGTGTTGAACTCAAAGGCTAAATACTTGTGTCTTTATTAATGCCATATTATGATTACATGATAGAATTTTTTTTTGTTTATTTACTTGATCAGTTACACAGTTTGCTTTGTGAAAGAGGGGAACTAGTTTCCACAAAACTTAGATTATTAAGTACCACAGTATAAACATGAAGTATTTACCTCTATCTTCCATGACTGTATTAGTTCTTGGCCAAAAAATGTAGTCAGAACCAACCTCTGCCCACCCTGATGAGTTACCTTTTGCAATTAAGTGTGGTCATTTCCTGATGTATCTCCTGAGAATTTGTAAGCAATTAATATAGTGAAGAAATGTATTCAGTGAGTCATTAGTTGCTAATTATTCATTCATTCTGGCTAAACTATCTCCAGTCTTTTCAAGGATTCAAGATATTTAACAGCAAATTGTTTGCAACCAGGTGAGTTGGCTTGCCTGCATTCTTCTAATCTCTGACATTTCAAATTATTACAGAGATCAGAGATTCAGAAAGCCATACGGGATTTTTTAACATTAGATAAAACATTTGATCATCAAAAAAGTGAGGACATTTTTGAATCCTGGGGCCTGTTGGCTTTTCATCTCCCTTAAGGAATATAGAGCTAGATACAAGAGATACAATGTAATTCTCTACCTTCTTGTTCCCTTTCTGCAAACGTAAATATAATTAGTAGTAAAATGGAGAGTTAGACATTCTAATATGGAGATATAGACAAGCTACTAGGGAATGTGTTAGTATGCCAATGGGTATCTGTATTTGTTTGACATTCTGGCAAGTACTGGTGTGGTATACTATTCGATATTCATCTGTTTTGATCTCTGAATGTCTCCTAAAATTAAGAAAATGCATAAAGTTGTTAACCAGCTTGAACAAACACTCTACGTTTAGAGAAGATAAATTTAATTGTTACAATTCAGTGCATTTGTATCTGCTTCCTCAGTAACTGAAGGGTTTTTTGACTGTACTAGAACAAAAACCCATGAAAAGTAGTGCCCTAAAGTCTGATCAGCCTTGATTTCATTTCAGCAGAAAGTTGGGCTGGAATAGATAAATGTATCAATGGAGAAGAAACTATGGCCATGGGTACAATTCTGTCTTACTGCATCTGAATATTTTTAATTTCAGACCAGACCCTCATGAAAATGATTGTTGCTTCAAATGAGGTCTCAGCAGAAGATGTACTCCTGACTTTACTTTTGAGTACATGTGCCCAAAGCACTTAACTTACCTCTTCTGAAGTCCTACATCCTGCAATCTCTTGTCCAATGGTGTACTAGGACTGGGGAGACCAACTGAATAAATCTCTCCAGTGGACAGCGAAATTTGCAGCCAGGGAGAGTGAGAGGGTGAGGATCTCTCAAAGAACTATTCCGGTAGTACATTTCTATGGTGTATTGCCTGTTTCAGAATACAGAAGGGTCAAAATAACGTTAGGTATGCAGAACCACACAGCCTTTCCATGTTGTAGTGATTGTACTTCGGGGCAAACTTTTAGCCAATTTATTTGTCTGGTTATTAATATGTATCAGTAATACTCCAAAGAGATTGTTTTAAACAATAGATGATCAGCAGCAATTTGCTTGTAATTTGTGTTCTTGGCAGAGAGCCAAGGAGATAAATAGATAGAAAGGGCAGAGTAAAACTTCTCATAACTGTAAAGAAACAATACAGAGAGAGTTTTCAGCCTGCAGTGCTGTGATTCTGCTACTGTCAATAACTGCTAAATTGAGTCCAATTATAATAACTAAAACCAATCTGTCATCTTTTTCCTGTGTAGTAAACCTTGTGTATCCAGCTTAATTAGTCTGGGATATCAGTAAATTGCTTTTTAGAAAAAAGTTTATGTTAGCTGTACAGCTTGCAGATACTTGCCCGTTTTTTTCCTGGTAAAGTTCAAAAAAATGACAGGCACTGTAAGGGGGCAATTTCCCATTGAAGACATTGAGTGCCATCTGTAAGGCAACGACGGTGGCTGCATGCTGTAAACACAAGAAACCTTTAATTAAAGGACTACTGAAAATAATTGCATGTACCTACTATTTAACAGTATGTCCAGCACCTTATCTGTCCACTTACCATTACCTGTGTGGCCTCATTACTACTTGTCCTCTGCCCTCCGCAACACTGAACAAATACAGTCCTATGGCTGTACAAACTGAAATGCTGCATATATAAAGTATACATTGATGTAAATATTTGAGAAGTCTTAGTCGCTTGCAGTTCTTATCAAAGTCAGTAGGAGCTGTTAAAACTTATTTTAAAAAGAGCTAGTGGTTTTGCCTGCCTTCTTTTTTTTTTTTTTTCTTTTGCCTCTGAAAAAGATGCAGGAAGCAGGAGGTTTGTTTCTACGTTATCTTTGTGATAGAGGCTCAATAGAACATGGGCATGGTTTTTCCAGTTCTCTGCTCGATCAGAACTATATACAATGAAACAAGCCATGACATCAGGTGGAGAATAGAATGCTGCAAATTTCAAAGTACTATCTGTTCATTAAAGAATGAAAATAATCTAATGATATTTAAGGTTAACCAAATAAGAAATGCTTATAGCTTTTTCATGAAGCTTCATGGCTTTCACTGCATTTAATAACTGCAGAAAGGGAGCATAAAATAAACAGAAAGGACTCACCGCAGAATACATAACCATTTTTCGGTGGTGTGAAGGCTTTCTAGCATCTGAGATATGCTTCAGAATAGTTTTTAAAAGAATACCTGAAAGAAAATGAGGAAGCAATGACAATGAAAGGGATGCTTGTGTTAACATCTGTATCACTTGTTACTGTTGTAACACAATTTGTCTTTACATGCACCAGTTTTATTCAATTGACTTTATAGGTAATTTGTGCAGAGTGCCCTGGTTAATTCTGGTACTATCTTTTATATCAACAGTGGGCCTATTTTGCTTCTGCTTAAAATGTTTTGGGGATCCCTAATAGCCTCAACAGCTTCAAACAGTGCTTTCACAGGTGCTTTGTCCAAGCCCAACAGTGCGAGAAGAGCACAGTAGTGAATACTAACTACCCTCTTTTGTGTCTAACTCCATTGACTTCCTGATTTCTGGAGAAAGAAAGAGCACATCCTTTGGACTCTAGTCCAATACACTCCTTCTTAAATTATGTGGTTGTCTGTATTTTGCTCATGTTAACTGCTGAAAAGTTGTAAGACAAAGTATATGAATTAAATCAATGGCTGTGCTAGTATGTTAGCATAAGGTTGGAATCTTGACAAACTAAAATCCTAAAATAAGAACTATACACTGTAGCAGAATTAGACACATGTATTGTCTTCGGCTACTGGCACATTTTTTAATACCAATTGTTAGTAAAGCAAAAGAGGTTTGAACTTTGTGCTTGGATTTGTTAGTTTGAGCTCCAAAAAGGCAAACAAATTAATCCATGCTTATATGTGATTTGTCCTTGTAGCTCACAGAGCCTGACTGTACAGTGTCCATATAAAACAAAAATGGGGCCCAAAGGGTGACAGTGGATGAATGGAGGAGAATGAGTAATTAAAAAGGTATAAACTATCTTTAAATTTCAGCTACTATTTGATGAGTTTAGAAGCAGTTTAATAATCTGATTTTAGTGTTCTCACTAGCGGAATATGAAGGCTATTATGCAGCAAAGTTAACATTCTAAAGATTATTACAAATAATATCTTGTTAAGTAAGTTAAGCATAGTGGCTTACATTAAATTCAGACTTGATTCAGTTCAGCAAGAATCTGTATATTACTTCAGATTTCTTATATAGTGTAACCAAAATGGTGCTACCTTTATAATGTTGGATTAGGATATTTATGATCCATATCCTCACCATCTCTCTTCCCATCAATCAAAATCTTTCCGTGCTGATCACCGATATCCATATCATGACATCTTTCATAGTTCTACTATGGCATTGGTAGCAATACTCATTATATACCCTTTCTTCTTTCCCATTCTACTCTTGGTTTTAAATGGGCTAAGAATTTGGCTTACCTCCCTGCAAACGTGATTTTTGTATTTGTTTGTGGAACCCAAATTCCGCCTGCAATAACAATTCTGAGAGCTTTATCAGCTTGGTCCTGACACCATGAGTAGCCCAAACAGGTAAAGTGTAATTGTTAATATCCTACAGTGAAGAAAGAAAACATGATGATTTTCTTATTGATTCCTACTGCTAAATGTTGTTTGTCCTGGCACAAAATGCTTGTTGGAAGCAATTCTGAATGTTTCACTCAAGTAACATTTCTCTTTGCAATGAAATAATGACTGTATTTTACATTTAGACAGCTGTAGAATTCTTATTTATATCACCACGCTGCTTAAAACAAATTTGAAGGGCAGTGTTCAACAAGAAGAGGAAACATAATGCTAAAAGTTATTATGCAAAAAGCAACTGGTGTTATTTATGCCAATTGCTAATGCAGTTTTCAGGTGCAAAAAATTCACATTATGACTCTTTCTTTTTTAGCCATTTACTGAGATATAACTGAGATCTTTACTGAAACAAATCCTATATAGATGTGAGGATTTTAAGGGCTGCCAGCTCTGAGATATAAGTGAAATGCAGAGATCAAGTAGGAATATGTATAGCTGTAATTCACATGTACCAGAGTATGAGGTATATGTGTAGGGATTAGACACATAGATGGAATTCATACCTACGTATACCAGATGTGTTGGATACTGATGCAGTCCTGAAGGTAAAGTGGAATGGATTGGTCTTTCCTTAGGGATGCAGCCTAAGATATATTAATGGTCACAACTATGAGGAGGAAAGATACGCCCAACACTCCTGGTTTGCACTACCCTGAATTCCTGTTTAAACAAGGTTGGTTATCTTTCCTTTAGTTCAGCGTAACCTCTGTGGACGTGAGCCATTGGACTGAGCTCACCAGATGAAGTGTTCTTGTAACAACGAGATCTAAGGAAAATGCCAGCTACTTAAAGGATTTGTTTAAGCAAGTGAAACAATAGAACATGTTAGGTTAAACCAGCTCAGGTCACAATGTATCACTTTCCTTTTTAACAAATGTGATTTGTGTCTTGAGGAAAGAATTGGCTAGTTGCATACTATTTAAGACAGAGCTGTAGGCAAACAAGTGCCTCAGTCTCCAGGTTACCTGAAAGTCTGGTGACACTTAACCAATAATAACAAACGCAGAGAGATGCATGCTACTGTAGTTTCATGAATTACATTTAAAAACTGCTTAAGAAAGCTCTTTTTGTGTGCTGGAAAGGGTGAGAGTGGCTTTTATGGCAGATGTCTTAACTGATACCCTCAGAGTCTTCACTGAGTAGTATGGAAGACCAAAGCTCACCAAATCTAACACTAGAAGAAAAAAACTCAACTAATCGGTTTGGTGTTCCAGCATTTAGCTAGATCCCTGATGGGAGCTGTAAATTTTGCACATTTCTCTGGTACAGGTTTCTCAGTACCATATAGCAATTGAAATAAAAAGTTATGGTCCTGAGCTGTCCTGGATTTGGAAAATATGGAAGGATGACCTCACTGAAATTACAGTGAGGTGTCCCAACATGTTAACATTTCATGTAACTTAAGGCCCTGGCTAATATTCCCATTCAAGACTGCTTTGACCAAAGTTGGACCTTTGCAGAAACTGCAGGACAGAGGTAAAGTCATTAGCATCACACCCAAATATTACATGTTGCTTGTGAAATCCACCTTAAAACTGTCTCAGTTTTCTAGGGGATATCTCAGTACAGATGACTAATTTATCATTAATATTTGCATTCAAAAATAATTATGCATTAAAGCATTTGTAGCAAATGCTGCCTGCGACAATATTTTTTTACACAAGACTGCAATTTTCACTTGCTTCAGCTGAGATAAGTCTAGACTTTGAAGTGACATGAAGTGGAGCTTGTTGCTAACTTAAGGGCACTAAGGATTTTTTCAGATTCCCACTGGACTGTGGGACCCAGGTATCCATGACAGTATCCCTTTTATTATAAAATTCATGCTTCTTTGTGATGTGCCTGGTTCCTTTGATAAGAGCAGGTTCCCAAACTTGTACAAATAGCCATTTGTGTCATTCAAATGGCTGCTTAATTCCTGAAAATACTCTGAGCACTACTGTCCATATGCAAGTTATAACTTCTCTTATTTATACAATTTGCATCAAATCTTTGTGGAAGAATGCTTACTTTTCTTTGCCAACAACAAATTTTATTCCTGTGTGTCTCTGTGATGCGGTTTGGAAGAGTAACAGGACAATTTTATCCAAAGGTATGCTTTTGCCCAATTGTCCATATGCAATCACTGACAGACTATTGGATTTGGTAGGCCATGGATCTGTGTTCCTTGTAGTGGTGGATGACCCACAGCAGCCTCACACAGTCATAGTGTCTTTTCGTGATTTTCAGTTGCAAGTTTGATGTTAGGTGAGGATTTCTGGGGAAAAAGCTGAAAACAGTCTGTGGTTCAAAAAACTTTGAAAGCACAGACCTGCTCCCTTGTGGTGTCTTACAAACAATAGCAATAAGAGCTAAAACCAGTTTTGAGAGAATGTAAGTATTTCTATTGGACCTTGGACATTTTCTTTCTATTATTTACCTCATATTGTAAAGTGTCAGAGAGCTTCCAAATTCTTTCAGTGTTCAACTTCTTCAATGGGTATCCTGTATGAGTGGCTAAAAACTTCAGAAATGGCTGGAATACAAAAAGCAAACTTGTAGTACACAGGGTCTTTTTACATCATTTCTACACACAGCCATACTAGTACATAGTAATTTTTAGAAACAAGATAGTCTATGCACTTTGCACTTAAGCAATAAACCATTGCCTAGTGGTATGAGAATTTGGCCTGTTCATCTAGACGAGGATGGTGATCCTTCAGATTTGAAGTATGGTGGTGGTTGATGCTTGGCAGAAATCTTCAAAAGGAGTAGAGGAGACATAGCTAGATGAGGAAGCCCAGCAGAAATCCAAAAAGTGCTTAAAGCAAGTGTGACAAACAGAATTATTTTGATGTTGGTACTGAGCAGAAGGGAGGTATGATGTAAATAGAGGACTTGCTTTACATGGGAGTCATGTAAAACAGAGAGAGGTATTGGAGTGATTTGAGAGATATTTGCACTGATTTGATCCGAGTTTTTGTTTTGTCTGCTCTCCTAGAAGGTAGGCGGACTGTTTTCTTTGCAAGGTAGTCAATAGTTTATCTTCAGTTGGTGGGAATAGCCCAGTCTAGATGGATCTATAATGTCGTAATTGTTTTTTGGGTATGTTGTCTACACCCACTGTGAAGATTAGAGATCTGGAAGGAACATATTGACTGCCATTTTTTTAACCTACCTGTTAGATAATGTTGACAGAAGTGGTACATTTTAATTAGATTTTCAGAACTAGAAATACTTTACCCTGTATTGCTTGAGTTGTCTTTGAAAATCCCTTGTTGCAAAGGTTTCTCTCAGAAGCTCGTTGTATTTTGGGCAGTGTGAGAAAGGTAAGGATAGCAACTGAAAAGAAAATTGCAAAACATGAGTTAGGCAAGGTGCTGCTTCTTCTGCAATGCAATATACCCTTCCAGGATTGTTATTCTGATTGGCTGCACTGGTTAGGACAGACTGAAAAATAACTTGGGAATGTACTTTTCAAGGCTATTCATCTTCAGGACTGTGAGAGTCATACTGATGACTACTTGCAAAATAATCTTTAAATGTTCAGAGGAGTAATAGCTGCAGTAGTTCAAAGTTAAAGGATTCATTTACACAAGATGAAATGTGTCCCTCGACAGAAGACTAACACAAGCCCTTACAAACTGCTTTGTGCTTGGCTTTCCGAGTGATGATTTCACTCGTCGTGTTTAAACACACCGTCACCTTTTGCAGCAAATTACCAAGCAGCAGCTGGACCACAATAAGAGTTTTTTTGTGCATACTCAGCTCTATTATTGGACTTACCACAGCTTCATTTAGTTCAGCTAAATCGTAGAAACTTGTGAAGTTTCTATAACTCAGTTTTGTCTTTCATTAATTCAGGACATATGAAGGTTAAAGGTTACAAGTGACTGGGATAACTTAAGAATTTGTTAATTCATTTATCTAAGCTAAACGGAGTTTATTCTTGTTTGAAGTCTTTTGTGTTAAATTTTAAACAAAAGTTAAAACAAAATTTGACACTGAGATATCCTTAGTGTTTTTCTTTAATGTGCTTTTTGTCCCTTTTCCAGTAATAAAGCTCTATCTATATAGTCCTACAGTTAAAAGATATTTTAAAAGAACTTGAGAATCCTGAAGGGATAGTTAATTTGGAAAGCTTCACAGCAGTTCCAAGATCTTTTTAGAAATATAATCTGTCTATTCCAGAAGGTAGGAAAGTATTTCTGAATTATAACCACAGGTTCATGAACAGGCATGACTTTACCAATAAATGGTAGATGCTTGTTTTGGATAGTTGGATACATGTGGTCTCAAGATTACCCTGTATATGTAGTAAAGATGAGTAGAGTTAAAACACAAATAGTTGAAAAAGTATGAAAAATGTGTATGTGTTATGAGTTCTTTGAAAAAACGTATTTGTTTCCCTAGATGTGAATGAGGTGCAGTACTGGCTTGCCGAGTTTGATAGTGGTGTTCATACTGGCCAGGTATGCTTGACTGTTTACTGGAGTACCGCCGTCTGTGACAGTGTCAGAAGCAGCTCCTGACTCTATGCCAGGCTGTGTGCATGAACAGGAAGACACATGTCTGCATATCCTTCATCTTCATGCTTTTATCATCTCAAGGTGAGAACCATTGCTCCATGTCTGTATTTAACCTGACTCCCCTATCATAGACAGTGTTAACTAGACTTCTAAGCCCACACAATTTACCTTGCATCACATGTACAATCCTTCTCCCCCAAACTGGGACTCATGCTGTACACTCCTGACCTTTCCTAGCTTTTTATTGTAGGTTTTCCACAAATGGGAAACTCCAGCTCCATTCAGCTGCCCATTTTTCCCCTCTAGGACAACTATATGCGGGCTACAGAGCTGCTATCTGCACAATTCCTTACAGCTCCAAGGTGAGGTGTTGAGGAAGAGAGATGAATAAATACATTGCCCTATGAACTCATGCTCTTAAAGCTCTTAGTCCTCCTTCCTTTTCCCTTTTACTTTTTCCACCAACTCTCAAAGTGCATGAAAAGCAATCCTGTGTTTCAATTCTCACTGTAATGAAAACTTCAGAATAGTGCTTTTGTCTTTTCCAATGGCTGCAGACTAAAAAATGTTGAAGCACTAGTGAGAACAGCTATGCTTCCTCTTCTCGCACAAAGAAAGTCATGTTTGTGATAAGCTTAGGATTAATCTACTTCTATAGTGGTTTACTCACATTATAGGCTAATTCTTTTTCTCTTTTTTGTTAACTCCAGGTTTCCTGTGGAAACTCTTGACAATATTTCTGTTCAGCTTATTAGGCCTTTCTGCACAATTCTTGTAACATAATGTATTTTTCATTCCCTTTACTATGTCCTTCATCCTGCCCCTTTATCTCATATCCCAGGTATTTTAGTAATGATTAAGGGAAAACAAATGTACTTAGTTTCTACTCACATTATCATGTGTCACTGGCACTGTGTGAACTGGAATTGGCTGCCAAAAGATTTTGGGGTTCCAAATCTGGCCCTGTGTTGGTGGGTACAGTCCGGCAAGACTTGCCTGAGCACTCATAAGTGTGTGATCACAGTCAGTGCTTTGAACGTAAATCTGAAGCAAGAAAAAAAAGAAAGAAAAAACTTTTGGGAGACCATTTCTCCTGGTTGGTTGCATTTTTTTTTTCCTATTGGTAGGAAAGAACAGGACTGGTATTGTGCTGAGGAAACCATCATTGAACCGGAGTGGGGTGAAGAAGGACCCTGAGAAAGAAGGGAGAGAGAGAAAGAGTCAAGCTGGAACAGAGCCTTGGAATAAAATTTTGGTAGACAAGGGAGCTGCAACAAAGTAGCCGTTCCCTTAGGAGCCCTGGTGAAAAGTGTTAAGATCAACTCCATTTGAACACCTAGGCTTTGGGACATCATGGATGCACTGAACAGCTGAACCCTGAAAGAAAACTAAGCTGTATCTGCACTGCATATGGAAGCGCAGAATTGGAGATATCCAACATAGATACTTTGCCATACAACAGTGAGGCATCTGAACCTGATACACAGCCTAAAAAACCTTTCACATGGTTTTCAGGTAACCATCAGCCTAAATAAAAGTTGAGTCACAGTTTCAGAGATACTTTGAAATGACGTTTAATTCAATGGGCATTCAGTTATCTCCAGACATAACAGGTTCAGCTTCTCATGCATTCAGGAAGTCCCACTAACATCCATGAAAAACATCCTCCCTCCCAGGTCCAGTACTTGCCTCATATTGCTTGTATATAACACTCAGGAAATAAGAGTATCTCCTCCGCATGTACTGGCCAAGCTCATACTGTTGCTGTATACCAAGCTGTAGAAGTAACAGAATAGTGTAAGATGCTCAAGAAATGTGCTACACATGCATTCCTACAACTAAAAAATGAGATATTTCATGTTATTTTGACAAAGATCTTTTTTCCTTTCTAAAGTGAAAGAGGAAAGAAGACAGGAGAAAAATGCAGTAAAGTTGCTGCATTTAAAGTATTGAATAATATTCAATATGTCTTCCTAATGGATACAGTTCTGCATTTTGCTCTGTGGAAAGCTTTGTGTATGTTTATCCAAGCTAGTAAGACTGGCTGAGGGTCAGGGTGACTTAAAGCAGGCATAGAGATGTCTCAACACCATCTGTCTAGTTTCTGCTCTATTGCTGGTTCACAACTAATTAACTGGGAGTGCAGACAGAGAAACCACCTGTCCGTGAAAGCACGTCCAGGATATGAATCCCATAGAATATCACCAGTGATTCCATATGGAGGTTACAGTTTTAGCTTGTACAAGATCTTACTTTTCAGGAAGACAGAAAATATTGAACAGAAAACAGAAAATTTTGAACAGAAGACTTCAAGTAAAAGTCCTCGAAACCTTCAGGTATTTTGCTACAATGGTTAATTATTATTGACAGTCTGAAGCATTTGATTCTTGGTTCTTGCCTGACCATGTGCCCAGCTTTCAGCCACTGGATCTTGTTATCCTTTTGAATGACACATTCTTTGCCATCACAGATGTTATTCCCAGTAAAATGACAACCAATAAGTTGGAATCAAGTCACTTAATCTGTGTAAAACTAAATAGTAGACAGTTCTCTACTCTCACAGCAAAATGGGTTTTCCAGGTTCAGCATTTTAGTAGCTCTTTGCCGAACATTTTCCAACTTGCCAACATAATTTTATAAATGTCTGACATGAGAATCACATTCCATGTCCTTGTAATGGTTTCAATATTATCATCTTTTTAATTGTACCTGGTATTTCCTGGCCTAAATTGAAATATATTCAACTTTGCTCATGTAATCATTACTCTGCAATGGGATCTCAAGTAAAGTGGTTACACATTACATCCTAAAGTCCTTTTTTAAGTCATAGGATCATAGGATAATTCAGATTGAAAGGGACCTCAGAAAGTCTCTAGTCCAACCTCCCGTTCAAAGCAGAGTCAGCTATAACATCAGAACAAGTTGCTCAGGGCTTTATCCAGAGTGCCAGACATGGCCCATGGTGTATGTACGTGATCACATCTTTCTGTTTCTGGAATTGTGCATCCAGAGTTTCTTAGGGTTTATGCTTGGCCTAGGCTTCTGCCCCAACTTGCCTAATATGTGTGTTGTTAAATACTGACACCTGAGTCTTGAAGCCATCCATGCCCTGGAGCAAGCTGGTACATAGTGCTGAACTCCCATAGTGTATACGTGCAATGATTCAGCCACAGCTGAGTTAAGGCATAGGAAGCTGATCTGTTACTCCTGTTTCTTCAAGGAGAGTGACATGAAAGGAAACAGGCCTGACCGTGCATCAGAGATCAGTGTGGCCTCCTAAGAATGACAAGGAAGAGGAACCCCTCCGGCAGTTTGTTCTATTCTGGTTTTGATGGAGACCTGACAAGTGACTAGTTCCCCCAGGAGAGAGAAACATGTGTTGTGCTGGACCCACTGGACATAAGGTGTGTGAGCAAACTTATTCTACAGTAGCCTAACAGAGACACAGCCCTCATAGTCTGCCTACACATGCACAATAGCCATTTACCTGGGGCATCCAGACTTTTGGCACATCTAAACTACTTCAATGACGCTGCCTGGTGCCCAGAATCCTGGGTGAATAACTAGTAGATTTTTCCATCCAAACAACATCTCTTGGGGAAAAATGACCAAAGCGCAGACACAGTGGGTCATGCTGGTGGGAGCAGAGCAGAAGTAGGGTTAAAATCACCTAGTGCCCACGTTTCCTTACAGCCTGATAGTGTAGAAGTTCACCCTTGGCTCCGCTCACAAGAGGAGGCAGCTAATACAAATTACAGTTAATGCAGAGACACAGTTTCTGCACTTGGACTCTGCAGTTGCTTTAGCTGCTGCTAGTTACTACGTCAGCTGATACGGGTGTGCAAGCTCATCTCTGCTGTATTCCACCAGCACCTGCACTAAAATAGCTGAGCTTTAAATCAACTTCCCCTGACATAGCATGAGAGAAGTTTCCTGTAGTGCTGATCTTAGTAGTTCAGGAGCAAAGGAGCGCTCCTACTCAGCAGACATTAAGGGTGGTTTGTGAGCGCTTACGTCACCTTATGCTACTGATGTTTAAAGCTCTGTGTTTGGTACCAGGTGAACTTTGGTGGTCACCAGTGCCTGGCTTCTCCCAGAAGACCCCAGTCTGCAGTCAAACCACTCAGCATAGGCTGCTATTGGGCCAGAACAAGCTGACTCAGTGTCATCTAAAATCAACAACTGCTCACAGGTGTAGTTTCCTGGTAAGTTCTTTGGCTGTCATTTTGGAGACCTGTGTATGACAACTTAATATGGGCTTCCTCCAAGTGAAAACAAAGTTCCAAAAATCAGATATCAACAGACCACATTCTGATATTTCAGTATATTGATCCAGGTAAGCAGACGTACCTTGGTAAGCTGTCCATATCCCTGCTGCCTTGCAACTTCTTTGTGCTTGTCAGTTGGAAAAAACTCCTGTGGGGTATGATCACCATGACGAAATACCTGACAAAATAGATGGGGTTCTGTTTGCATTTACTGGGGTTTTTGTGATGGATATAATTGGTGCAGTCACAAGGAATATGCAATGACAGTGAGTACTGTGTCTGACATGCTAAATGTATTTGTGGTGCTTTTATTGGGTCTAGATAGCTATAATGCCTGTTTAATTTATTTAGACAAATGTAGCTCTTCTTTTTTTCCTGGCATTTGAAAAGTAATTATCTCAAATGAGTGTTTGCAAGTTATAAAAACTATAAAATATCTTAGTATATTTTAAAGAGGTTTTATCTATTTTAGGAGCTATAGACCACAACATTAAATAAACAAAAAACAAATAGAAGCATGTAAGTAATTTTCCAGAAATATTAGAACATCAATATTTTGGTAGGACTAACTGGGAATTTAGAAGTAAAAAGCCCAGACTACTTTAGGTACAGTTTCTGTGGCTGACTGCTGTGAAGCACTCTTTCTTGGAAGAAATTAGCCTTAAAAAGCCACGAGTTGACTTTTTCATCACAAGAGATGATGCAAGTGTCATCTAATATCTAAATATAGACTAAACTGTTAGTCTGAAAATATTGAACTTCTTCTGGAATTTAAGTTCAGATGAAAGATACATCTATAAAGATACATCAAGACTTTTCATTCCTGCACTGAATCATTTCTTTGTCCAGCATAATTCCTGTAGATTTGTGTCATATTGCCACCAGATTTTTTTACTTTCTTAATCCAAGTAGGGAGAAATAAAATCAAAAACTGCAGCACAAAAAGTATATAAGTGATTTACAAGCATGCTTGATGTTCAGAACAAGATTCAGACTTTCTGCAAACACATGATATGTCATAATCATTGTAAATAGCATTAGTTTGACAGCATTGGTTCTATGTTTGTTATTCAAAGGTTTGGGTTTCACATAATGAAATTTATTTTGCATGTTAATCCACTGAAAACACTGGAAAAGTGGAAACTCTTCCATGGTAAAAAGTGGTTTTGCACAGTTGACATTTAGATATGAAATCCTCTTACAATTTGAAAAAGAATCCTATGTGACTCCTCTCTTAGTGCTATTAAAAAAAAAGCATTCTTTTGTCAATCCAGAAAGTTAAATTCATCTAGGATGGCACAAAGAAGACAAAATTATAAAATATGATTTAAAATTGAGGATTTTTTTTTTTACAATGCAATAGTGAATTTTGAATACACAGGAAACACTTAAATATTCAAACAGTGCCCCCTTCTTCCTACCCTAGAGTACAAGAAGAGCAGTCAGTGACAGGTTTTGAAGACATTCCATTTGCCCATGATCTACTTACTACGGACACAAACTTCAGTTTTCTTTTAGCTGTCGTTTGGTGAAGAAAGATGCAGAAAAGGCAGAACATGAAACACAGACTCCAAATTCCGCACACCAGCTGCCTTGCTCTCATCCTGAGGGTAGCTTTCAGTTATTTTGCACACCAAGGCCACAGACTGGATGTGGTGATACTGTAGATATGTGGCTAAGAAGGGAGGAGTCGGTTGTGCTCAGTGAAGTCTGAAAGTGGGCTGTAAGCTGGCCTCCTCCTCCTTTTTTTTTTTTTTTCTTGGATGCTTTTAGTGCTTATAGCTTTTCAGAAGATTCATGGAATGAAAAGTATAGTTTGCACTTGTACTCAATTTCTGTGTCCCATATGTTCTGGAGAATTTCTGAGCTCTCTATTTCCTGCCCCTGGCACTTGCAAGACAGGTGAACATAAAGAGCTAACAAGAACAAGCTGCCTTTTATTGTTTAAGCTAGGATTTAGTATGGGTCAGTCAGCCTTCTTAAAAGTGAAAATGCTGCAAATCTAATGTCTCTTGCTGTATGCAAAAGAGCTAGTAAACCATCCTCATTCCTAGTGCTCACATGGTCTCATCTGAGCACTGTGTACTAGGAAGCTAGAAAAAGCAGTGCTGTCAATTGTTCTATCAAAGATCTCTGGATTTTTCACTGGATTTGGCTGTGTGGTCTGCAGGAAGAATAAATAGCAGAAGGTTTTGTTGCACGGGAGCAGGAATAAGCCTAAATTCACCACAAAAAAATAAAGATACATGAATGAAACTTGCATCTATATGGTAGATTGACTGTCTCTCTAGTGGCAAAGCATGTGCCACTGTTTTCTAAAATTATCCCCCAGAATTTCATACAGGTAGGTAAATTTTTTAATTTTAAATTTCTCTTGTTGCTAACACTTTCATTGTTACAGCATGCATAAATAAAGAGTTGTTTCTGTCAGTTCCTCATTATATTTTAAATAAAGAGAAAATCTAGCTCAGAGACTGTTGCAGGGGACAGGATTGATCTTACAAACTTATTGGTTTATATTCAATCACATTCGGGTGTTAATGAATGCCCTGTTAATCTGTAAAAATTGAGAGTGATTTCTTAGTGATCAAAAGCTCTCTGTATGTAAGAATTTAAAAGAAATTACTGAAAAAAAAAATCATGGTGCTACCTGAAGTTTATATAATCTCAAGCTAGTTTAAGGTACAAATAACAAAACTTTCCTTTGTAATTATTACATATAGGCTTGTCTAGAGGGATCAGTTCTCTTTCCTGAGATAACAAAGCCATATCTTTCACATCTGTCAGAGCTAAAGAGGTTTCTCTATGAAACATTCAGAGGTCAGACTTTCTTGTTGCAAGATGGTTCATCTGTCGTTTCCACTTTTGTGCCTGACAAGTCTAATACTCTCATGCAGAAATAGAAAAATATGGGGATCTGCCCACATTTATTGAAAAAGAATTTTTTTTTCTTTTCCTTTTTTTTTTTTTTTAATGAGGGACTTGGAGGAGATGTGGGTCAACTGATTAAAGCTATTCACATCCTGTACATTTTCCTGCCTCCACTGGCTGTCATACTTCAAAAGCCTCTCTGAAGAGACTATGAGTTTTGCTGTTTCTAAAGGACATGACATCAGATGCCACTCCTAAAATACACTGCTCTGCAAGGCAGGGTTTTTAATTAGACCAGCTGGTATCACTGAGGAAAAATAGGCAAGTTCTGAGAATCACAAGGCTCCATTCAGATTCTTCAGATACTGTAGATACATCTAGCAGGGACAGCAGATATACAACAGGAGCAGAAAGGTTTAAGTTTATTCTCTTCAAGCACCCATTGCCTCACACTTTACATGATATTTCTCTAGCAAGGAAGGTGAAATTACTCTTACTTTGGAGATGACATGAGATTAGTATAAAAACTGATACTTGCTTCCTTCGATCTGATCTTGGTGCTGCTAATTCTATGGGAAGAGACACATAAAAGGCTGGAGTTATTTTAAGGTACACTACATTGGTTAACTGTTCCTTCTGAAGGTCATAGAGGGAGAATGAAACAGTATGCCATGCCATGTAGCATTATTCCTGAGACTGAAACTCTAGAGAGTAAGACGGAGCTTTCTTGGCAGCTAACTCATACCTGCAGAAATCCCTTGTTGTGGGTAGTGAGAGGGGTGAAAGCTATAGCTGCTTTGAAAGTCAAAGTAACTGATTCTTTAATATCCCTGCAGCCTGTGTTAAAACAACAGTTGAAAGTGGAAGAGGAGGAGATAATGGGAAAGACAATAAATGAACCTCACTGCCTTGGAAGTACAAAGCCAAATATATAAGGTGCAGATCCTATACCTTTATCTTACCAATAAACTTGATGAAGTGTTTATGGGATTGTGACAAACATAGTATTTTTAAGCAAGTAAAAGTACAGATTTGTGTTGCATCCTGTATTGTGAGATCTGAAAAGTCAGTGTGTTAAGAAATGCTGCTGGATCTTAGACATTGTTTAGGGAATGTAAGCTTTCATTAAGAGTCCTTCAATGCTTTAAAGTAGGTTCACAGTTCAAGTGCTGTTATTGTATTTAACGGCTTATTAATCTGAAGGACAAAGTTTGTCCCTCTTCACGCAAACTGCAATGTAAAGAAATCTTCTCCAAGCTGTGATACTTACTGCCTGAGCTTTTAGTAAGTGTAGGGTTAAATCTGCTTGATATATAAACACAATGTAGGATTGAACTTCTAGCTTGAGATGCAACTTCTTCATTGGCAGTGGAGGAGAACCAGAATCAGTTGAAGATATATTGATAAGTGTGTTTGGAGAAGACTCCAGTGTGGAATTAGTGGGGAGAGAAGGCAACAAGTGTAGCACGACTTCAACCTTCTCATCCTGCCTCCCCTCCTTGCCCCTCCCTATAATATTCCCTAGTGGGATACTGATTCCAGCCTCTGATATTAAAGTCATGGCTCCATGGCTTTTGCAGTGTTGATGTCCATATCCACTTCCATGCCTTTTCCATATCTCCTCTCCTCAGCTCTAGTCAGATCAGGGCTGTGTCTGTCCCTAAATAGAGTTTGGTGTTTCCTCTGGTTTACAATGTACCTGTTCGTCTCTTGCTTGCACACTGAGATTAAACGATAAGGAAAAGCGAGGATATCATTCACTCAGCTGCAATAAACTAAGAACCATGACCAACTCCGAGTCACTTGCTTAAAATCTAAGTTGATAGATATCAGCTGCCTCTATTTGGCTAATGCTTAACGTAGACTTCTTTGGTCCTCTGCATTAGGAAAACAAAGGCACGTCGTGTCACCATGCCTGTGTCACAGGGACACATTATCCCCACCTTAAAAAGAATTTTGTCCCAATCAGATACATAATTTAATTTCTGTTAATGATTTCAGTGCTGGCATGCAGTATTCTTTCTATACGTTTTAAGATTGAATTAGAGGTGTGTTCATCTGTCCTGAGGAGCTGGGTCAAGGCTTGTCAGAGTAATCTGCAGTTGTAACAGCGGCTCTAAAGAGCTGTGCATGATGTTCTTTCTGCCACCAGCAGGAGACATGACCTTCTGCCCCATATTCTCTGATCCTTCCTGAAATGGTAGCAGAAAACAGAAGACAGCAGTTCATGTTAGGACTTGCAAGGAGTGAGGCTGCGGTTGTTCTTAGGCTGTTCAGCATTCTAGGCAATTGCCTTCAGTTTGGGTCCAAAGCTGCCCTCTTGATGTCAATGTGAGATAAAGTACTTTTTTGCACAGTGGCCAGCTTCTTCTCCATTACGTGAAGCAAATATAGAGTAACTGCACAGAAGTTGATGAATTTATTCCAAATGTATTTCCCTTGAGGTTTACATAGCTGTTCTTCCACTGATGTCCTTTTCAGCACCTTCTCATCTTCTGCATTTTGTGGCTGTGTTTGGGATATGTGCATCTGCTGCTCCAGATCCTCATTTGGTATGAGTTGAATTAGCTCTTTATCTTTTATAGAGTCGCACCAATGAAAAAGCATTATTAAAAAAAATCGATCCCAGCGTTGGTGCAAAAAGAGATCAAGTTCCAGAGTTTTACTGGACAGTAAAGCTTCCTCCTCTCAAATGTAAGCACTTTCTCTCCAGTTTCATGTGATTCACCTTTGTCGTTGTAAAATACACAACTCAAGAGAAGCAAGACTGATATGGAGGAGTTGCAGATTAAGATGCAGCTTGGTAGTTGTGTCTTAACAGAAGTTACTAAAATATCAGAACAAGGGTATTTAGCTGGCATTATTCTGGACAATAACGGTGCTTATTTTGGTCTTAGACCATAAGTGAGTCACAAACCTAAATTTTGTCCAGTGTAAAAGCCCTTTTTTATTTTTTCACAAATTCCGTGACTGAATTCAAGCAACCTCTCTTGGGTGTGGTGGATAGCTGTATCATGCAACCAGACTGCCACTGCAGGAAAGAGGTACGGTTTGTAGCAAATTGCTGGGAGACAAAGATCTTTAAACCACTAACACTATCTAGTCATTTAGACTTACTAATGAGTTGTATGGGACTGACAGGATCATGTTGTTTTGACAGTGGGAGGTGAGATATTTCTCATATGGGAGGAAAAGAACATTTTCTTCCTGCCAGCCATCATCAGAGCTGTCTAGCTTAAGCATAAACCAGAAGTGTTTCATCCAAGAGCTGACATAAGTCCAAGCAACAACCTCCCTGTGTGTAATCAAGCATCAAGCTATTGTCCTTGTGCACCTTAGAATACCTGAGGAGTTTGGGTTGCTGATTTCTTTAAATTGTAATAATTATATTTAACTTTGAGGTAGGCTACAATAACTATGATTAAAGCAATTGTTCTGCTCAGCTGGAATGATTTCTGATCATGCCTTAACACAATGCTGCAAGATTTAAAATGCAAATATGTGGGAGGGAAGAAATGTTCTTTTGATAACTTTTTTATTTCTATTGGAATGAAACAAGAAGTCCTTTATAATAACCCAGGTTACGGTCAAATATAAGCCAGCAATTTCTCAGAAATACTGGATCTTGCTGGTAATGAGTGTCATCTACCTGTATAGATAGTTTAGGTTTTGGTACTTAAATCCCGAATCAGGTGTGAAGAATTAGTAAATTAGCTGTTTACTTCAGAGCTATTATCCTCCTCTTCTCTCTTTCCATTCTGTTCCCATGCTGTTATTACTCTTCAGTTGCTTTAGATTCTTGGATTTTTTGGCTATTTTTACTCTTGTTCATTTTAATCAGTGAAGCATTTAATGCTAGACATGGGCATACTCTCAT